AGTGAAAGTAATCCGGACATAATTTCATCAGTTTTTCCTTGTAAATGAATAATGTTTTCCGTCATTTTTTCCCTTAACTAATTTAAGCTCAGCAAGAACTTTGTTCCTTAAAAACAAAACAAAAGACAGAGAGCTCTGTCCTCCTTCTAGCAGGAAAAACTGATGCGGGTAGGTTGAGAACGCGAGATGTGACAGGCAAAGAGAAGGGGAGACAAAAACTGTTCTTCTCACCATCCCTTTCTCTGTCATTCAGAGACGCGCACTCTTACGAGACGACTGGGAACGGGTTAGGGGCCGTGACACGATCGTGACGTCATTACCTGATACCGGAACTACTTCATCCTCTTGCCCGTGTCCAGGCCCTTATAGAGCATGTTCACTGAATGACTCACTAACGACTCTGCTGATTGATGCATAGACTGCAATATTCATGTAAAACTGGATAAATACTTTATCAATGATTTTCAGTTACGGATCCCTCATAACTATGTTATCAAGCTCATGTTTACCAGTGTTCTGTATTATTACGGAAATATAAATTTACACTGCTTAAAACATAGCAGAAGCCGATGGTTACACGTTTCTGAATCTGCACTTACTCAAACTTTATCTTACGATCGCTTTTGATCATTCGAAATATTTAAATATAATCCTATTGTTTTATTTAGTAATATATTGAAATGATATATATTGTCAGGAGCCCATCACTGAGTGAATGATGGGCTCCTGATATCGTAAATATCTCATGTTTGTTTCTTGACAGATTTCTACCAAAATTTGATATAAGTTTATGTTCAATTTGATAATATTGTTTAATACGATTCTTTTATGTTAGGTAAATGTACTTTTTTATAATTTCCGCAGTTTTCGCAGATTTCTGCGGATTTTTAACTATCTTTCAATTGTTCAGCTGGTTTCTTTAGCTTTCATGGATTTTCCATCTTTTCCTTCCCGCCCTGAGTTTGCAGAGCATTCGCACGCATATTTATTCCTGATTTATCAGCCGTTGCAAAGGCACTTTACTTCTAGTCGCGGTGATCTGGACACGATGACTCGGCAGCTGTACATGAAGGCGTGTGGGCACACGGCGTTTACGTCTCATTCGACAGTACACTGTGAGCATCAGCAGAAGGATAAAGGCTAAGGTAGGACCCGCGATCATCAAAATCTTGATGTAAAGCGGCTGTTTGTTGAACCAAGCGCTGAAACCTGATGACGAAAATCAGAAAACTTGTCAACAACTTCTGCGAAGCATTATGGTAACGGCAAGAGATCGTGATCTCTTAGAGACTGGCTTCCTCCCCTGGGGTGGGATGGGTGGGTTAGGACAGCAGGTCCACATCAGCTATTACAGCTGCCAAATTAATCAACCTGCTTAAACAAATAAATGAACTTCAACTTCAACTTCAACTTCAACTTCATTACTAATATTATCAATATCATTGTTTATTTAACTAGTTTTGGGTTTCATTAATGACAGTTTATGTTCTGTAATTTAGTTACTGATGCTGACAACAAATTCTACATTCACACTTCTCGAAAGAGAACTACGAGCTTCCAAGTGTGTTAAGTTAGGTTTTATGATGGTTAGCTGTTGTATAAAATGAAATTTGTGGATTTCAGCTGTGGAGGAAATATTAAATTCCTATAGATGAGCTAAGACTTTTTCCCATTGTCTATGCTTTACTCTTTCAAGAGTGTGCTGTTAAAAAATTTATTTAACTCTCCTTGCTATTTGCCATACAATTCTTGTATTGTTTGTTTGGAGAATTTGGTATTGGATCAGCCAATAATCCCATTATTGATATTTTTCTTATTCTCATCACTCGTCTGCTTGATGTTATATTTATATTGTAAGGAGAAATACTATCTTGGTCACTTGTGGGAGTTGAAAGTTCAGACAGGTCTCATCTATAAAGTAAGATAAATAATTATAATGCTCAAAATTTGAGCATTTTCAAGGCTTTGGGTTAAGGTTAGCTTATTGAAGAAATCATAACCCTGAAATTTTTCTTTTTTGTATTTCTATTCCATTCAATTCCTCGAATTATTCTTTGTCTTATAAAATTTATCATGTTCTTAAGACGAACGTGACTTCAAAGAGATCTCCCTTTCACTAGCTTTTAGCAGGCGGAAAAAAATTATGCCAAGATTTCCCGAATGCTTCAAAAAAGTATACAAGTGCAAGGCTGTGATTTCGAAGTGACCTAACTTTAAAGCCCATACTTTTTTCGGTAAGAAAGGTTTCTTATGGAAAAAATCGTGCGAAAAAAAAGCACGAGCTCAACATCTATCTGTCCATATCTGTGCGTTCCAGTTGTTTCTGCTGACAACAGGATAGTGATCGTTCATTCAATATTCATCAAATTCTGCCCTAAACTCAAAGCGCTTATTTACACCGTAATTTTATAGCCCATTTTCTCATATATGCCGCGCTATATTTCAAAATTAGATTTCATTACGCGCAATTTTATTTAACATGCGAAACTAAAGATGATGGGAAAAAAAAAAAACATGTTTCCACATGCACGCGAGGCGCTAACCATTGCACAGAAACACTGAACAGCGCTTGTTTCTTAAAAAATTTCCATACATGTGCTTCACAGGGAAAAACCAATTTCTAACTTTTTTTTTTATAGATTCAGTTAACAGTCGCACAGCTAAGAAGATCTGCAGTCGTATGGAAAATGTACTAAAAACCACAGGGCGTGAAAGCTTCGGTTCTAAAATTCAATAGGCAAATATTAATTAATTTCACGAATACTTCGTTGAAGCTTTGTACTTTTAAGAATCTTTACCTTGCACAGTCGAAATGACTGCCCAGAGAAGCACTGTAATAAGCTGTATTCCAGCCATCAGACCTTTGCAGTATGCCAGGAGATACTTATGGATCTGCAAGTGGCGTGTAAAACCTAGTCAGGTTTTCTTGCAGTATGACGTTCGTTCCGGTGGGCGTATCACGTGACCAAACTTTTTTCCTCGTCCACAGTAATGCACGCAATATTCGAGTTTCAGTGGTGCAACTCATTTTGAAAACCTTGAAGGTGTTCCCTAGTCATTTCTTAAGTGTGTTATGTGAGTAAAGGCTCTCTGCCAAGACTTGATCATTCGTTTAGTTACAGAACGCGTGCAGCGTTGCTTGGGATGTCTGTGACCTATCCTTGGCGTAAATTGTCTCACGTATACTGACGAATTTTCCTTTTTAGTGAAAGTAATCCGGACATAATTTCATCAGTTTTTCCTTGTAAATGAATAATGTTTTCCGTCATTTTTTCCCTTAACTAATTTAAGCTCAGCAAGAACTTTGTTCCTTAAAAACAAAACAAAACAAAAGACAGAGAGGTCTGTCCTCCTTCTAGCAGGAAAAACTGATGCGGGTAGGTTGAGAACGCGAGATGTGACAGGCAAAGAGAAGGGGAGACAGAAACTGTTCTTCTCACCATCCCTTTCTCTGTCATTCAGAGACGCGCACTCTTACGAGACGACTGGGAACGGGTTAGGGGCCGTGACACGATCGTGACGTCATTACCTGATACCGGAACTACTTCATCCTCTTGCCCGTGTCCAGGCCCTTATAGAGCATGTTCACTGAATGACTCACTAACGACTCTGCTGATTGATGCATAGACTGCAATATTCATGTAAAACTGGATAAATACTTTATCAATGATTTTCAGTTACGGATCCCTCATAACTATGTTATCAAGCTCATGTTTACCAGTGTTCTGTATTATTACGGAAATATAAATTTACACTGCTTAAAACATAGCAGAAGCCGATGGTTACACGTTTCTGAATCTGCACTTACTCAAACTTTATCTTACGATCGCTTTTGATCATTCGAAATATTTAAATATAATCCTATTGTTTTATTTAGTAATATATTGAAATGATATATATTGTCAGGAGCCCATCACTGAGTGAATGATGGGCTCCTGATATCGTAAATATCTCATGTTTGTTTCTTGACAGATTTCTACCAAAATTTGATATAAGTTTATGTTCAATTTGATAATATTGTTTAATACGATTCTTTTATGTTAGGTAAATGTACTTTTTTATAATTTCCGCAGTTTTCGCAGATTTCTGCGGATTTTTAACTATCTTTCAATTGTTCAGCTGGTTTCTTTAGCTTTCATGGATTTTCCATCTTTTCCTTCCCGCCCTGAGTTTGCAGAGCATTCGCACGCATATTTATTCCTGATTTATCAGCCGTTGCAAAGGCACTTTACTTCTAGTCGCGGTGATCTGGACACGATGACTCGGCAGCTGTACATGAAGGCGTGTGGGCACACGGCGTTTACGTCTCATTCGACAGTACACTGTGAGCATCAGCAGAAGGATAAAGGCTAAGGTAGGACCCGCGATCATCAAAATCTTGATGTAAAGCGGCTGTTTGTTGAACCAAGCGCTGAAACCTGATGACGAAAATCAGAAAACTTGTCAACAACCTCTGCGAAGCATTATGGTAACGGCAAGAGATCGTGATCTCTTAGAGACTGGCTATTCTTTAATACTTTAGGGGGGGTTGGGGAGCAAGGAATCGGAGGAATTTGGTAGTGTCACGATCCAATTCACCTGATCCCCTATGTAAATGCGCGACTTTAATTGCGTGACTTGAAGTTTGCGTGACATTTCAGTTACGGTTGGCCTTCGTGCCATTTGAGCCTTTCGGATAGTTTTTCTTTCTTTAGTTGTTGCATCGTACGCTCCTTTACTGTTCACTGTTATGTCCGGCGTCCGTCCTAAGGTTACTTCTTAAGTTTTGGTTTCAAGCCACCGACGTATAGGGACCGATATGTAAGTTGCATTCGTTTGTTCTCACTCTGTAGCTTGCCCGATTTATGCAAGGTAGCGTTTCTCTTGATCTGATTTTATGCTTTGTGTGTGTGTTATTCCCTCGTATCGTCTAGCGGCTATTTCTAGTCATAATTTTCCTTTATCTCGTTTCGAGCAAGCTCTTTCATCTTTATAAGTATATATTTTGTGTTTGCCGTGGCACTTAG